AAATAAGCAACTGCTATAAAAGATCTCGATCTATCGATTCCCGTTTCATTAAAAGAATCCTTGCTGTATAAGATTCAACAATCATCGCATCAATTCGATCTACACAAAGTATCAAGCCTCCTATCCCATCTGTCCCAACAAAAATCATCCGTCAACCATCTCGAGGATACGGCGAAGGCTTAAGACGTCGGGGCATCCGAGCGATCCTTCATAAACTTCCCCGTAAAGGCGAGCCGCCACCCCAGCCAGTCCCGCAAGGAAAAAACTGTAGCTGCTTTTCTGCGCCCGAAACCGCCGCACGGTAATAACACTCTAATAATTTATAACGTAACAATCAATGGCTACTATAAACGCCACGAGAGGGAACGGGGGCAAGGCAGGTAGTACACGGATGCAGTACCCCGATGCATCCTGCGGGTGATGCACTCACGGAGGCCGGGCGCATCGGAGCGTTGCGATCATTACGGGAAGACAGGGGCGTCGGGGAACCGGTGGTGGCAGCGCGGGGGAGGGCGCGGGGAGGGTGGAGAGAGAAAAGAGAGGGCCCCGGAGTGTGTACGTGTCCGTGGTAAAAGGTCCACCGGTGTCCGGCCTGCGAAAAAGGAATCCCAAAAAGCCCTCGTCCGCGGATCGAACACGCTGGAACGAGAGAGAAGAAGGAGAACGCCCGAGCGGGAGGGCACGATGGAGAAAGGAGAGACGAGGAGGGAGAAAAACAATGTTGCGCCCGGTACCGCGGGACATTCAGAAAACAAGAAGAGAAACGGTGGCGGGAGGCGCGCGGGGGCCACGGATGATGAGAAACAGACCCCTCCGCCGCCCCTGTGTTCGCCGGACGACCAGTTGCATCAACGAGAGCGAATTTAAAGCGATCACAGTTCTCCCGGTCCCTTCGTAAATGGAGGTGTAAGGATAAACTGTAAATCATCCGGCTCGTTATCCGAGCCGACGCGATCATACTCGCTTCTATTATTTTCTTGCACTACTTTTAGTCGGCCGGCCGGCCGCCGCCGCCGCCGCGCACGATATCGGGGGCCCTCGAACGTCCACTCCGCGTCCCTCCCCGCGTTCGCCCCTCCCGCGATCGAGATCTGACGCTTCGTCGATACCTATATACCTTTGATGACCTGTCGCTGACGACTTTTGCCTTCTGCGACGCCTGCCTTCGAGACTTTTGGACCTGGAATGCGCGTGCTCGGATTCCAGGTATCGCGGGGGTATTTTTGCTTTGAATTTGGCTTTTTTGATGGACGTGATTGGTGGTTTGTTTTGCGGGGCTCTCTTGTAGGTGGATTTACTTGTTAGGGCTGGTTAGTTGTTGGTGGGTTTACTTATTGGGTATGTGTACTTGTAGGGAACTTTATTTGTAGGTAGTTCAGTTATAGGTGAGGATGTAATAAATTTACTTTTTGGTAGAGTTTAGTTATAGTTAGACTAACTGGTTGGGTCTATTTACTTTTAGGTAGATTTAGGTATTTACTTGTTTTGTCTATGTACTTTTAGGTAGATTTATTCATAAGTAGGTTTACTTACTAGGTCTATTTGCTTATAGTTAGATTCACTTACTTGGAGGTCGGTTTGCTTGTAAGTTGATTCAAAATCAGCGTAGGTATGGCGCGTGGTGGGTGGAAATCGAAGGCACAGGCTAAAGAGAGGAAAGATATAGGGGAGAGACACGGGGCCACAGGATGGGGAAGGTTATCGGAGTGTCGGCGAGTGAAACGGAGAGGATTCACCCCTGTTTCGCTCGAATAATCGTGTCGTCCTCGTCGAAAGCGGTTTGCTCGGGCTAATATCGAGCCATCGGCCGCATTCAAAGGGATGTCGGGGAGAAGGAATGGTATTGTTGTCCCCTTCGAGGCGATTCTTCTTCGCCCGCGCGTCACTTTTGACGTCGCTAATGAAAAGATTGCTGTTGCGAGACGCGCCGCTCGCCAAGATATTTATATCCGTTTCCTTCGTCTTCGGGTCTTCGATCTTCTTCCGGGCAATCGTCTTTCCTCTTCGAATTCCGTTCAACATCGAAAACTGTTACCATAAGGAATTCTAATTAACTCGTCACCGCGGCAGCACGACACTTGTCAAGTGATACAGATTTCTACTACGCATTTCCATTGTTTGTTTTCCCCGCGGAAGACAACGCACGCGTTTCCCAGTCGTCAGGAGACAATTTGCCTTCGCTACCAGTGTTTCGCGGCTACCGATCGGTCGCGTCTTTTTGCGCCGATGGAAAATAAGCTATCATCGTCGAAGGAAAAGCGATTTGCTGGGCAGAGAAGAGAGGAGAGGAGGGTGTGAGAGAGCTAATACGGCTGACAGCGTGAAATTGAAATCGTTCTGTGTCGTTGTTCGGAGAGCGCGGAGAACGGAGAAGATGCAATGTGTTCCTCTCTCTCTCTCTCTCTCTCTCCCTTCGCCGGTCGTTTTCTTCGGGAGTAGCCGCGGATTTCTTGGTGGTGTTGGTAGCACTGTTGATTAAAGTCCTCGGCCGATCGCGTTGTCTCCAGGCTCGGTCGTGCATAGAGCAGGATATTGCGCACCGGTACCGAATAATGATATCTCGACCGCAGTGATCATATAAACCGCAATGATTACAAGGTGATCCGAGACGCATCGCGGCCGGTATGTGAATCATCGGGGCCGGTATCGAGTTACTCGAGTCCGAAGGAAAATCTGTCGAACTTCGGTGTCTCTTACTCTGGCAAAGTTCTTCGAACACGAAGGAACATTCTGGTTGACTCCCGAAGAATTATATTTCTCAGTGAAAATGCAACGGTAAGCCTTAATTACTACGGAGTTTGATTACTCTGGAACCACTCGACATTCATCCGTATTTTTCTTGACTTCTGATCTTTTGCTACGTACCTTCCATTTAGATACAAGGATATAATGGTTAATTACTAAACTATTCACAATAGATATTAGGAATCTATGAAGTCCTAATATTTTCTTACGTCTGCCCTTAATCTCGGGCCTATAATAATTAACTATAGACCCTATAGATTCTTAATTACGTGATTCGATATAACAAAATAAGTCTTATATATAATATTATCCTTCATATCATCCATCAATACCTAAAATATTCAACCAAACACTTCTATTTCTTAATTTCTTTCTTCCATTACTTCCTTTCAAGTGTCCTTCACATCTCACCAGAAAACGTTGAATATTTCTATCGAACAACCTTCCAGTGCAAAAGGGTTAACCGTCGAAAACGTCATACGAAAATCTGTACCATTCCCACCAAAATTCCGCGATTAAGCGTTCCGAGGAACAAGGGGGTAGTTTCCATCGAATAATCGAATAATCGAGGCATTTCCAAACGATTTCCTCGGACGTCGCGAGTGACCGTTTCCCTCCTCCCCCGGCGTCGGTTGCGTAGCCACCCCCGCACAGAGGAGTTCTCAACTCCTGTTTTCCTCCATCTCCTGGGAGCAATAATCGCCGCGAGCTGGAAAAATTCCGCGACAGAAGTTAAACAAAGCCTCGAACGAGGAATGAAAAAAAATGAGAGACAGAGAGAGAGTGATACGAAGAGGACGTAGAGGGGGTGGGATCGTTGGCAAGGAAAGAGGGGGATGAAGAGGAGCGGAGAGACGCGTGTGTCCCCGGCCCGACTGTAATAAGGGTGACCAATTTTCTCCTCCGCGCCGCGCGCTCGCCTACCTACGTTCGACTGTTTGAACAAGCCTCATAATTAATACGCGTATTCGCTTCTGGAAAACCCGGCCCGAGGCTGTCCGGCTGGGAGACATTTTTTAAAATCCTCTGGCCGCGGATATTTGCTCTTCCACGGCGTCCTCGCGACTTTCGAACGCGGCCTTCCTTTTTCATCCCCTGTTCGCCACATCCTTCCCGCTTGAACACGTTTTTACGGAAGTCGATCCGCGACATCGCGTCTTTGTACTTTATTTCAGTCTTTCGTAAGTTCCCTGATTCAGAGAGTTATTAGGAGATTGATAACTTTCGAAGCAGTGTTTAAGTTTGATACGTTCTTCGATCTTCGTCGATTGAATTATATACTTGTATGGTTAACATTATTGTTTTCGTAGAACATTCATCGATTCTTTCGCGTTCTTATATTATTAACCTTTTAGCTACGACGGGTTTGACGCGGTCTGCGTATCGTAAATGTAATATCACTGCGGTTTGAGACTGATGGAATGTTCACTGTGCAATTACGTTAGACTACAATGTGCACAATTATCGATGACAGAGGAAAAATTGTGTCGCTATAGTGGCGTAGAGTAGCTGGAAGGTGAAATATTTCTATATTCCTGCAAAGTAGAAAAATATCGCAAAAGTTCGAATTTTCGTACGATATTTCAAATATGCAGAAGGTCCATCAGCGTGATACAAAATTAGACGTTTACTAAGGAGTGTATCGTTATATTTAATTCATTAGACATATTTTATTGTTCAGCTTGAATTTCTATGATCGTCGGTTTCTATTCGACCGTGAGAACGGTTCTGTTCGTGAAATCCAGCAAGATTTCGGTAGAAACTCGAGTCCGATCGCGTACCTGGCTCGTTTCGCGGGAGATATCTGTCTTTAAGAGCATTATCTGGATGGCGAGCGGGTAGGGAGACGGCAAAAACCGTCCGCCCCCTCGGTGGTATGTGAAAAATGATGCACAACCCCAATCCCCCGACACATCCCCACCCCCTGCACGGGAATGTCCCGAAGGAAGCGTTCTCCGCCTCGTCGTCTTTCTGGTCCACGACCCAGAAGACGTGTCACGGGCGAGGTTGCATTATTCGAAACGATTAACTGGCTGACAGTGCACGTAAAAAATAATCCTGGAAATATATTTTTAATGCCCGGGGATTTATCACCCGTGTCGAGCTCGGGGATGGTCTCGTTCGTTTTGGAAAAATGTAACTTCGAGGAGGGGTGCGGGTTTTTAAAGATGAGCCACTCTTTTTCTGTTTATTTAGCGTACCGTCGTTTTGGTAGTGGGGAGCGGGTCACTTAATATTTAACCGTTGTGTTACAGGTACGCCGAGGTATTCTCGAAAGCACCGCCGACGGGCGTGCGGAACGCTGTCCTCCTCTGTGAGCCGCACAAAGGATTCCTCTATTCTCCCACGATTAATAACGAGCTGTAAGTAATCTTGATCTTCTTGGTTTGTTGTTGCTAGACACTGTAGATTCTGTGCATTTACGGTGAACAAAAGTGCTCGGAATATAAAGTAGGGAATGTTCGCAAGAATCTAAGAATGCACATTATGTACAATCTATCAGGATTCCTCGGAGAAGAAGTTAATTTCCATTTAACTCTAGTTTCTTTACGTATCGCACGGAGAAATGGTAATTTTGCACAAGCATTTGGACTTCAATTGTTAAGAATCAAAGAGAGCTAAATAATGTTTGAAGATCGAGGAACAACATAGAAAGTTGGCCTTTCGATATCGGTAAAATTCCAATTTCTCTTTCAACATCGCGGAGGCTACGATTTCCATCGAACTTAGGAAGAAAGAAAAGCTCGTTCCTTTGAAACAGACATTAACGTGTAACGAACTGCGGTGTCTGTTTCATTGAGACATGTTTATTGAGACGTCTCTTTTTCCGCGGAGGAATCGGGACGTCAGGCTAGAGAAAAGGTCTTCTCCGGGGGCCACGGTATTATAAAGCGAAAGTGCGTGACCTCCTGGCACTGCTTTCTTCCTTTCCCCGTCCTACCAGGCCGCGTGACGTGATGGATACGCGAAAATGTCACCGGCACGGCCCCCGGGGCCAACGCGCGGCCTCCACCCTCTGACCATTATGCTAAACCATTGTCCACTATCTGCCTAAGATAGCCGAGACGGCTTAAGTCGTCCGTCTGCTCGCCCCCACGCCGAGACCGTTAAAAAATCATTTTTGCCCGCCTATCCGCGACACGTCCTCTGTCGAAGGGAAACTCAATTGATTCGGAGGATTCGGAGGACTTCTGGAGTAACCTTAGAAACGATAAAAGAGTTTCTTCACTTGCATTTTTTACCCGTTTGAGTCTCACGCGTCGCTCTCGCGCTCTTCAGAGTTCATGTCGAGAAAACCCAGCGCATTTGACGGCGCACTCACAATCTGACGAAACGCGCTCAACTTTTCAGACGCATATACATCGCATCGCTACTTTTTTTGTATACAAGTAATCCAAGTAATACATTTTACATTTCGTTGTTACCCATTATAAATTGATATATATGTATATATATATAATAGTATTAACATAGATTAAGACAAGCGCTGTCGCGCTGCTTGACTCTTCTTGACATGAAATAAAAAAAGCGCTATCGCACCGCTTGTATCTTTTCGCATCCCATTCAGAAAGCGCTACTGCGCAGTTCAGCGTTTTTCGACTGTGTTTTTTTAAAAACCTCTGGTACTCAAACGGTTAATATCATGTTTCTTTAACCGTTTGGCTCTCAAGCGGCGCGATCGCGCTTCTCTGTTACACCGCGTAAAAGTGCCAGTTTATCGGTTTGTAGAATCAGATGAAGCTAATTTGCTTCATTTTCTTCTAATTATTTATTGTTATTTTTGTTATTACCCGCTTAGAACTGGAAAAATGTAACGATCGCACTGTTTAGAGTTTGTTTCTGTAAAAATAGACAAGCGTAATGCAGCTTCTGAATTGAAACCAAAGAAGCGCGATCGCGTCGCTTGGCATTTATCGGTCGGGTTTCTGCAAAAACCGATTCAAATGGTTAAAGATAAACGATACACTAAAAGATAATTGAGATACGGAAGATTTCAAGATTGAAGTTTAGAGATCTATAGTTCTAAATGAGTTGGAATTTTTCTTTAATAGATACACCGAACGATAATTGAAATAAAGATTTCAAGATTGAAGTTGAGAGATTTATTCTATAGTTCTAAACGAGTTGGAATTTTTCTTTAATAGATACACCGAACGATAATTGAAATGAAGATTTCAAGATTGTGGTTTAGAGATTTATAGTTTCAGATAAATTGGAATTTTCCTTTAATGATTACACTAAACGATATTGAAGATAAAGAAAATCTGAAGATTGAAATTCAAAGATTTTCAATCTTATACGAATATACAATAATAGATGAATCAGGCTGACGTAGAATAATAATTGATATTGAACTTGGTAAATCTGTAATACAGTTCTAAGCTTCTCTAGGAGAAAATCGGTGAACGATTTGTAATCCATCGATGGCGGTAATTATATCCGATAAAGCTCGCGATATCGTGTCCCATTGCCGGCCCGTGTCGTTCTTTTCCACCCTCGACGATGATTTCTCTGATTCCCTCCCCTTTTTCTCCGGCTCTTCTCGATGCATCCACCATTATTCGTGCGTTAGGCAAATACACGAGGAGAGGCGACAAGCTCGTCCGCGCGGTTTTTGCCTCGTGAAAATTCAAATGAGACCGCGCGGCATATTGCGCTGAATCGAAATTAATGTCGCGCAACTAATTATCGGCCGAGTCATCATCGTCCCGTATCAGCGGCCTCCTCTCGTACCTACCTTCCCTCGTCCCGTCGCGTTGAAACTCGCGCCTCCATAAATTTACAGCCCTCGCCGCTGGGACCCGTATCCTCGCTAATTTTTATCGTTCGCCTCCGACAATTTTCAATTGAATCGTTTAACGAGCCCCTCATTATTTCTTTTCGTCAATTAGTCGTATTCTTGTCGTCGATGTTTCCCTTGCAATAAGTTCAAACATTTTCGAATGTAAAGAAAAGAACAATGAAACGTGTTTCGCGTAGAACTTAGAATATTCTCATAGAAACTTTAACAAATTTCGAATGTTTCTTCCGGTTTTATTACTCGGATAGTTTAGAAGTCTCCTCTGTACGATCATTGAAATCACTGAAACAGGGTAGTGAGGAATTCAAGCGTATTTTCATTGATATTCTAAGGCTGATAATGATCCTGCCATATTTCGTGAGTTCTTAACTCCGTGCTCGATTTTTCGAAGAGTTATCGATCAAAGCGGCGCGAGATTCCGGCGCGGTACGCGAGCTTCAGGAACCACGCCAGGATCGGGTGAACAATTGCGGGGCAAAAAGCTGGAGCCGGTGCGCGGCAAGAAATTTCTAATTTGCGGTATAATTAAGGGGGACGGCGCAAAAACCATCACGGATTCTACGCCGTTGTCGGAAAATCGTGAATTCCGGCTTGCGAATACGCCCCTGGCTCGATCGCGGAACGGCCCTACGGTTCTCTGTGTGCATGTGTATGTGTGCGCTCGTGTTCCATCGTTTTACATTGTTCGCCAAACAATCGGGCGGAGATTGTTGCAATGTTTCAAAGTGGAAGCAGTTCCATGGGGAGAGGAATAAGAATTGCTTATATTTCAGCACGCATCCACTGCTACACATTTATTCCTCGAGTGTCTATTCATACCTCTGATAAACAGTTCTTTCCTGCACATCATACTTCGTTTTTGTTACAGGTACTCCGTGGTGACCTCAGAAGAATGGGCGAAATTGATGCAATTCTACGATGTGGACCATCCGATTGTGATCAAGAAGAAAGGTCTCGAGTTTGACACCGATCCTAGTGAGTACTTCTTTTTCTTAAGAAAAATAGAATAGTAACAACCGATTATCATATGATATTCTTATCAATTATTAGAACTTTGAGGATGCCTAAGATTCCTCAGATTTTTCAATATTTCATTCAACTTCTTATCGTGTAATGACATAGACATCATTCACTTGCGTCAGATTCAATGAACAAATAAAAAAGAATATTCATTACAGTATAATAGAAATATCATTATAGTAAAGGAGAATTAACAAGCTAATCAAGAGAGAAGAAATTGATAAGAATTTGAATGATCCTACGGCTAATTACGTTTGACAAGGAGATTAGGGTAACTCTTGTCCCATAAAATCCATAAAAAGGAAAGTGATGGCGACGAGCAGAACGCAGGAGGCGAATCGAAAACGATTATAACAGCGGTTATCGGGCGGCGCATGTGCCACGATAGCGGTATCAATTTCCTGGTGAACTGCGGGCCGAAGACCGATCACGCGCAATTAACGGCTTTCTCTTTATTCCATCCTGGGACCGTTCGATCTTATCGGCAATTAATTTTCGTACGATTCCGGGGGGGTCATTATGTAAACGATCGTCCCTAGGCGGATCGTTACCGGCGCTCCCCCATGTGTTTCCTTCTTTTTCGATCTCTCCCTCGCTCCGTGTGTACGTACCCGGTCTAATTATCGGTACACAATCCGACGCACACCACCGTCGCCGCCACCACGCTGATTTTTCCTCTTTTTCCTTTCTTTCCACTTCGTTTCTTTCGACCGGATCTCTCTCTCGCGATGTGTCTAGAATATGTCCACGGTCTAATCGCGTCGCGCGTCCCGTCGCCACGTACCGGGTGTCTCGGTGATCGGTGTACCATCTAGGAAACTCCCTAGAGAAAACTCGATCGACAGTGTAGAGCTGGTTTTATTTTTAGGAAGCTTTGTATCCTGAGATCATCTATTTTAAGAATTTCTCTATGGACTCTATCGCGAGTAGAATCGGATAGCAGTGCACAGACACGTTTATAGAAATTTGTATTCAATTTTTAAAATTTTCGATGGATAGTTTAAATGTATTTTTTGAATATTTATATGAATATCAGTCTTGTTTTCGAATGTAAACGATTTTATTCTGTTGCGTTGATTTATCTGTGAACTACCGATTCCATTGATAACAGGACAATAATCGTTTAGACACCTTGTACATTTGTTCCAGCCAGCCCGACTCGAATATCTTTTTTCTAAGTCTAAGCAAAGCTTCATTAGAATCGTGATAAATCTTTGCCTCGACTCTGTAACCGGCTCTCTCAATATGTCCGGCGCTTATTTGTGGCTTAATCGAGTCCCGCGAATGTTTCTCGTAAATCGACCGGGTTCGAGTTCCGTCCGCCGATTCGAAAGCTTGACTAGAATATCGAATTAATTAGTGAAGTGTTGCGAAGGGCTAGGTTCCAGGTTCGAGCGTGCACGGGACATTTCTCGCGGGAAAGCGCGCATCTCCTTTTTCCCTCGGCTCGCCGACGTTCCCCTCTCAGGATTGAACCCGAGGAATAATGCCAGAAGACATTAGCCGTCGATTTACATAAATCCCCCTCCCGCGCTTGTTTCGCTGGCCCCCCGGCTCGCAAAGTGTCTCATTATAATTAAGAAGTATCCTGAAAATTAACCGACAGAAAAACCGTCGCTGGGGACGAGTAGGTGGTACTGGTCCAAATGGGGTTCTAAAAGTTTCTCACCCTTGGCCCAGGCCACTTCGTTTCTCTTGGAACCTTGATGCTCGGTGCAATACTTCTAGGATATCCTATCTTTTAACCCTTTGCACTCGGAAGTTTCTCACTAGAAATGTTTAACACTAGAACTACCAAGCAGTCAAGTTGACTTTTCAAAATTTTTCTACAGAAACCCCCAAAGTGTATCTATCGAGACTTAGATCACTCAGAACTTAGTTTGGGTATTACTAAAACAATTTCTTTAGCTATTTCTTAAAGAAGGATCTATTATTCTTCCAATAATTGTAAAAGAAGGATTTAGAAATGCGTCATTTTGACCCATCTGGTAGTTCCAGTGTTAAGATTTTTTGACGAGGCGAAGACGATATTTGTTGAAACTAACTGGAAAGCAAATCACAAGTACACTGAGGACAAAGCTGTTTTATTTGAATGTTTAACGTATCGAGACACTATACAAAATTCAACATTAAATATCAGATTTCGTAGTTTCACTGCGTCAAATCAAGTGGTGACTGAGAGTCACTTCCCGAGTGCAAAGGGTTAACTTCTCGTGGATAAAGAAGAAATTGTTCTGATTCTATTTGTAATATTTACTGGGCTAACGTACGAGAGTTGTCAATTTAAAAGATATCTCCATTTTCGTCGCACAATCTCAGTTACGTTCGAAAACTTCGTAAAATCTCTTCGGATCTCTACTTCTTCAACCCTTTTATCAGAGTTATGCTTCGATAATAATGAATTCGGACAAAAATACTAACAAAAGAATTAATCAAAGGCAAGCAGAACACATGGATCAATATCTTGCCCAAGGAAAACTTCTAAATCCACTGGAAACCAGACAATGGATATTTACCAGCTAGAAGGTTCCTTCGCAAGTGTCCCAATTCGAACTTCGCTTGGTAGCAAGAAAGCTTCGCTAAACTTTTGAAACGAATCTTCCGCGAGTAATGAAAAGAAACGGAGAAAGAAGGGGAACAAGGGCGAAGAGGAGGGAAGAAGGAGAAGAAAAAGATGCGAAAAGAAGCGAGTCATAGCGCGTGTACAATTCAATCCCCGGTCGCACAATGTCTCCCTGTTCTGGGCCGAAACGGAGTCCGATCAGATTTACGCGGGCGGGGCGGACAGCAGCGGCGGGGCACGCGCTCTCGAGCAAGCCCACTTTGTCGAACGACTGATCCTTGTCGTCGGTCTGGCAGGCAAATTGGCTCGAGAACGGTAGCACCAGGGGGATCCGGCGGACCGATGTTCACGTCCTCTCCCGTTCCTCGAGGAACCGGCGTTCAGGAGTCTTGAGCCCTCTAAACATCCCATTGTCTTGTCCGTCTCTCGATCGCGGATGGCGCGGCCTTTTTTCCCCGCGACATTTGTCAAGGCTCTCCGCCTCGGATCCTCCAACCGGCGATCATTTGAATTGCAAACCGGCCCGGGAGTCGTCGAATGGCCGGCCGCTCCGCTCGGGATGTCCGCCGGCCGGACCACGCCGGATCGCCCAGATGGAGATGTCGTTTAGGGTTAAAACCGTGATATCTTCGGCCTCTCGGCGCTCAGTTGATCTACATCCCCGATTCGCCTGGTTACTTCGCGATTAAGTTCTTCTCGCTTGGTTCCGAGGAAACGAATGTTTTGGCTGATGGGTCTTTGACTTTGGTAGCTTTGTTGTTTGAGATTGAGTCTCAGAGAGATGAGTAGAGTTTTTGTGTTAATAATTCATCTTCTTGGAGCAGTGTTATTAGGGTTTAACATTGCCCGTCCAGTCTTGGTTTCTGTCATACTGGGTGAAATTTTTGAGCAGCTAGGTAGAATTAAGTAGGTAGGATTGAGTAAGTAGAATTGAAAGCTATGTAGAATTAATTAGGTAAAATTAAGTAGAATTGAAAGCTAGGTGGACCAAATTAGGTAGAATTTGAAGCTAGGTAGAATTAACCAGGTACGATTAATAGGATAGAATTAACTAAATAGAATTTGAAGTTTTGTACAATTAACTATGCAGAATTATGAGCTAAAATGAATAGTTGCAAAACTGACTCACTGTGTGGTTCGCTACTAATGAATCCCTGTGCATACGTTACAATATCACGTCGAAATGCACCTGAGCCTATCACTATCAAAAAACCTCGGGTTACCCATGGATCTTTCGGTCATTAACCGGGTGCAACCGGACGAGAAACGTTTCCTTCCCCGATTTTCCAGCGTCTTTCGCGGTGATCGCGTCGGTGGTCCTGGGGGGAACGCCGGAGGGTGGTATTCAATCGCGTCACCTCCGGTTCTGTCAACCCGAGGTCCCGGTGAAGGAGCCGAGCCGAGACGAGACGAGCCGGGCCGAGCGATCAGGGTTGCCGAGTGATTGATACGAGGTTGGACGGTGCCTAATGCGCGTCCGCGAGCGACGGAGAAAGAAATGGGAAAGGACGTGGACGAGAAAGGGAAGAAGGGACCACCCTTCGTGGCTCTAAGAGCGGAACGATCGTCCGCCGGTGGCTCGTTAGTCAGGGCCGTATCAGTCACCGAAAGCAACCCCCAATTTTTTGCTCCGGCTGGGCCAACCAGTCTCGCCCCCTAAGTTCATTCTTGTTCCACCGTGGAGACCGTGTATGTCCTTCTAACTTCTAAATTGTCTGTTTGCTTTGGACTCGACTGACACTGGCGATTGCTGAACGGATCTTTGTAACGCGGAGATTAACCCTTTGACGACGACAGACTTTGAGACACACCGTACCATACGGTAGGAATTCAGTCGCGACGTGCACCGAGAACGACGAAATTTTTCAAGTATTATTTTTAAACGCCTATAGGCGCCTACAGTATCACCAACGCAAGTTTTCTGAGCGCCTGTAGGCGCCAACAGTAGTCAACGGGTTAAGAATAGAAGAAACTTGATAAGGACGGGAAGATTGTAGTTAATCAATGCTTTCAGGACAATTTTCCCAGCTATTCCATTATTGCCATTAAGTGTCTATTCAGCATCACGATGCATCTTCGAAACTGCACTGGAAAAATGTTAAGGAAACTTTCCTTACTCCATAAAGCCTGCAGCGACCACGTGAAGTTTAAAACAGGTGAACAACAAGCTTACCCGCGCCAAAAGTGTCACTGGTCAAGGAAGAAATAAGCAGAACAAGACGCGACAACCGCGACAATAATATTTAACAGAAAAGGCAGACAGCAGTAGCCAAGCTCCGAAGATTGAAGAACCGAGAGGGACAGCATTAAGAAAACTTGAAACGATCTCGGCGACGAAGGGACTAGTCCCCGGCCCCGGCGACGCGACGAAGAAGCCGATAGAGGAAATCGA